TATATTAATGTGGATTTATATATATATATAGATATATCTATAAATCATAAGTATAAAAATAGTAATTGAGTGTAGAAAAGTGTGTGTGTGTATATATATATATATATCTATGTGAATATGTACATGTATATATACATAGATATACAAACAAAATATAAAGAACTTTCAATATATATACATATATATATATAATAAGAAAAATACACAAATATATATAAGTATATTTATAAATCATTTTCTTTTTGGTCATATATCCATTTTCTGAATGCTTATATATATGTGATGGTGCAAGTACACATCTCAAATAACCATCACTTTTCTCAAATTGACACATGGATTCTACTTTCGTCTTTCTTTATTTTGGTCCCAACCCACGTAATTATATGTATAAATATTCTATAACCGTAATTACTTTATTATATATATGTGGGTAGGATATATATATAATATGAATAAAATATATATAAATATACAACGGTATGCACTCAATAAGGTACATATATATATATATACCTAGGAGTATGTATAATAAACCCAAAGAAATAAAATAGAGGTAAGGAAATTAAAATTAAAAAGAAAACTTACTACCGAGAGGGAGAGGAACTCCTCCAACCGATCAGCATTCAGGGACAGATCGGTGCGCCGGATATGACATCACTTATCTTCCCAATTGTTGCTAGACCTCAGCCACCTGGTGAGATACTATGCTGGTCGGCCTGGTGTCAAGAGAAGCGGCCATCTTCCTCTCTTGTGTCAGTCATTCAGCACATCAACGCCGGGGATGCTGTGCATGTGTTTGGATGGCAAAGATGCTGAGTTGGTTTAGATAAAAGGCTCCTCTTCTCTTCAAAATTTTGTTTTCCTTTAATTAATAACCAAAACATCGACAAAAGAGTGTGTGAGGAGTGAAGTAGAAATCCAAAACTGCCACTAGAAAGGTTGCAGCGCACCAGAACAGAACGTGTGTTCTGTGTCCGTCTCCAAGGAGGAAATTTCTTCTTCTTTGTGAGGTAAGTCGTTTCTTACTCTTTTAAATTATTTCTTTTAGTTCTTAGATGTCTTAAGATCACTTTTTTCTAGGAAATCCAGCTTCCAAATCGTTGCACCTAGCTTCAGAAACCAAATCAGAAATCACCACACCTGAACGGCGATTCTGCTCGGGTAAGTTGTTAATCTTCATTTCGACTCCTTTCTGTTTCGTTCTGTTGTTTCAAAATTGTAATCAAATGTTAAAACACGTTAAAAATGTTAGGAATTACTTTCCAAACAGAAAATAAGTTACAATATCCGAAACTAAGCTAAAAATGTCACTCAACTCTGCATGTATAGCTATTGTGAGCTGCAGATAGGAATTTCTGAAATTTCCAACGATCCCTTCGTGCAAATTACCTTCTATTTTGCGTATTTCTCAGCTAAGATAGACTGAAATCTTGTTGATGCATGATATGCAATTTTTAGGTGCATTAAATAACATGTTTTGGTGAATTAATCATGCCGTGTGCGTGTGTGAAAGGAAAACAGAGTGTGTGCGTGTGTGAGTGTTGTAATCCGGTTTTCATGAATTTAAAATAGTTTAATTTGAAAATTATTTGAAGTTATGAGTGTAGTAACCAGGAATAATGTTTAGAAAGCAAAATAATGAAGATCGGTTTGAGGAAACGAGCCAAAAAGGCTTTGTTTACAGCAAGCAACATCACCGTGTTGCTGTTGCTGAATGGAGGTGAAATTTTCGGGTTATAGCTGTGGAAACGGGATGCTACTAGGCACCCAGATTTGTCTAGGGACATCCCTGCATATTGGTTGGCACAGCAACGTTGTGCAATGCTGACATCTGACAGAGTCAGGCACCGAGTGTGCGGAGAATGTCGCGCGGGCACGTACATGGTGTTGCCATGCGTGTCAATGTGTATATATGCACCCAGACTGTACTTGGGATGCCTTCGCACTTCCGTATCTATTCCAGGGCATGCTACATTGTAGCAAGTCTACGCGCTGTGCTGATTAGACAAGCATCTATAGACGTTGAGGGATCTTCGTGGGTAGTGGACAAGCATCTATAGACGTCGAGGAATCTTTGTGGGTAGTGCTTCCTGTACCATAAGTACGAGTATGAGGGAAATTCTTCCTCGAGCACGTCATAAGTAAATAGGAAGTAGGAATGTGTGAAATTAAAGTATAAAAATTTACAGCTTAATTTGAGTTGATAAAAAAATTAAATAACTAAATCACTAATTAACAAATAAATTAATAAAATTTAAATTAAGTAAAGGAATAAATAAAATAAAATTTTACTTTCTAAAATTAATTTAAAACTCTAAACTATATAAATAAAATTAAAAGTTAAAAAATTAAACGTAGAGTCTGATTTAAATTCGATTCACCATATTTTCTTCGATGGGTATTTGATTTGATTATTTGTTTCAGAACCACTAGATTATGAGTGCTGGTTTTGGTTTCTTCACGAAACATGTAGTTCAGTTGTCTCGAGGGACTCTAGGTGATTTGATATTCATGTTCTGGAGCTCTATGGCATAAATGATGGCAATATGGAGAGGCCTAAGTATTTTATTTTATTTTTTATATTTGAATATATGTTTGTAAACATTTATGCACCCACCCATGACTCAATGGTATGCCATTTTCCCTCATTGAAAATAGGTGTAGGCCGCTGCGTGCATAGGTTTCTAATCAGTTAAACATAATTTAAGATAATTAATTTGTAATTAAAATTGAGTCATAAGACGAGTCTTATCCTATGTGTGTGAGTTGTGTAAATCCGTTGAATATAGTATTGACCACCTTTGTGACAATTTGAGTAAGATAAATATTCGATTTGGATGGAAATATCAACTATTTGACTTGGTCAATTTAATATTGTTTTTAAATATTATTTTTTAACTATGCATTAATGAAAGCTTTTAAACTTATCTGTGTTGCATTATTTCTATCTATCTTACTAAGTATTGGGACTCACCCAAATCCAACCCTTTCAGATGCAGAACTGGAAGAGAATACTGAAGAACCCTATTTAGATTCTTTTCAGAAGGAATATTTTAGAGCAGACTTATAGTTTGTTTTAACTTGAGGTTAGTATTTTGTATTTTGTAGTATAAATAGTCTATTTGGCCTTACGATGCAGCCTTTTGTAAACTTTGTATGAGATATATAGTTCCATTGCAATGTAAATATTTATTTTATATCTGCTCTTTTGAATATTGGTGTCTTATTTGGCATCGAGACATCACATGTGGTATTAGAACAGATTTTAGGGACATCCCATGCAATTGAGATCTAGGATTTAAGTTTTCTTATAATATAATAGTATCCTATTAGATAATTTAGAACTTTAGATTTGTTTAGAAATATTTAAATTATTCCAGTTTCTAAGTCTTTCTTTCCTTGTGGGTAGCATGGCATGAGGACATACTTCTACGAAGTGTACGAATGATGCCCCTACTTAGGCAGATGTTGTGTGGTTCCTCCAGGTGGTCCAAAACTTGATATCCATTGTTGGTCACGATGAGACTTTCAATGGTTACTACTTCATTCGGTAGAGGACAACACTAATCCTGTTCATACCTTAGCACTTAGAGTAGAGTTAGTTACCACCCAACTCTTGCGTTGTAATTATAGTAGGATTTAAAAAGGCGTGGTTGTTAAGGGACCCAGAATAACCCCTACTATGGTATCCACTTTTTATCAAAGAAGGTACTCACTTTATAAAGCCACTAATGCATGTTTCAATTGTGGGGATTTTAGACACTATGTTAGGGATGTTCTCATCCCCACCATCATCAAGCTATTTAGGGGACGCATGTTCCACAGAACTGAGTCTACTACTGAAGTTACTCCTATGATCTTCAGAGGTACATTACTTCTTTTTGACTGTTTTTATATATTTTTATAGATTTAAGTGTTATATTTTTTTTATTTTAAATTTTGTTAAGAAATTCATTATTAGGCCTAAACCCTAGATGATAATCTTGATAAGAAACACTAGTTAGTATGAATAAATAGTGTTAAAAGAGATTGTTAGATTAAGATAATAAATAAGAATTCATTAAATAATTTTGAACTCTTAAGTTTTTAGGATTATAGAAATATTGTGTATAGATTAATTAATTTTTTATTGTGGTATCCTTCAATACTATCATAAAACAATAACATTTTACTCTTTTTCATACTACATTCTACCTATTGAAGAAAATGAATAAATTAATGTAAACAATAAAACATAGCGGTGATTTAGTTATTCGTTGATATCGTTTTATATTATAATTTGATTAATTAAAATTTTTTTTAATTATAATTTAAATTACTAATTAAAATATTGTTTAGAAACAAGAAAGAAATGAATTTCAAATTGGAACCCATATCCATTTTACAAAAGTACATTCTAATCACTTAGTAAACACATACTTGTCTAGTCTCATATGTGACAAATCACCCAAAACATCTTACATATGCCTTAGAAAACCTTATACCAATATATTTAGTGCAATTATGCACTAAATTCAACAAAAGTTAACACTAGTTTATTGACCTACATTAGTAGCATACAAGTTTTGATACCTATACCCAAGGTTTATCTTTAAGAACCACTCAGAAAGGATTTACATTTGGAATAGAATTTTCAAAATTTGGGGATAAATTTTATTTAAGGGTCGATGGAGAATGTAACAATCAGTTGTGTGTTTCTATGTATTGGGTTTATAAAATTTTTATAAATTTTATTTATAAATGTAAATTAAATAAATATATAAATATAAATTTTCTAATAAAAATATAATAAAACAGAATAACAAATTAAATATAAGTATTCTAAAATAGGACAGTTAAACTTGTCATATCTTAAAGAAATGATGTATTTTTATTTAAGTTCTTAAAATTCATAAAAATTAAAAATTAAAAATTTTTAAAAACTTTATTACCCTAGTGAATAGTAAAAAAAACTAAAATTCTTATTACTCTAAATAAATAGGAAGAAGAATTAAAAATTTAATAGAAATTAAATTATAGATATGTATAAGATTGGACCTAGGTAAAATTATTTAATTTATAGGTACATATCGATGTAATGTATTTATATATTTATATATTAATATGGATTTATATATATATATATATAGATGTATCTATAAACATAAGTATAAAAATAGCAATTGCGTATAGAAAAGTGTGTATATATATATGTCTCTATGAATATGTATATGTATATATATATATAGATATACAAACAAAATATGAAGAACTATCAACATATATACATATATATAATAAGAAAAATATACAAATATATATAAGTATATTTATAAATCATGGTGATGTATCCATTTTCTGAATGCTTATGTATATATATGTGATGGTGTAAGTACACATCTCAAATAGCCATCACTTTTCTCAAATTGGCACATGGATTCCACTTTCCTCTTTCTTTATTCTGGTCCCAACCCACATAATTATATGTATAAATATTCTTAATTACTTTATTATATGAATGCGGGTAGGATATATATATATATTATGAATAAAATATATATAAATATACAACTGTGTGCACTCAATTAGGTATATATATACATATATATATAGGTGTATGCATAATAAACCCAAAGAAATAAAATAGAGGTAAGGAAATCAAAATTAAAAAGAAAACTTACCATCAAGAGAGAGAGGAACTCTTTCAACCGATCAACATTTAGGGGCAGACAGGTGCCCCTGATTTGATATCACTTATGATAAGCCCCGAAACAGAAGATGCCAACGGATTCCCCACTAGAACCTGAAGTATTTGCAGTAAGCAACCAAGAACCCGAAATATCTGCAACCAACTGCACAACAACTAGTGGAGGAAAAGATCAAAGATGAATCGCACGATCTGCTCTCCACAACGCCATTATCTTTCTAATTTTATCTCTTTGATTTTTTGTAATTTTCATAATTATCTAATTGTCGTAGTAGTAGGCATTTCAGTTGTAAGCTTTCCTATTTAAAGAGCTCCTGAACTGATCAGTAAATTCTAAAAAACTCTTGGCTATTTCTCACTATAAGTATAAAAGAATCCTTGATTATTTTACAGCTTTGATTGGGACCAAACATTGGTATCAAAGCTCGATTAAAATAGCCACCGACAAAGAGCGCATCAAGAATTTGGAGTCAGGTCTTGGCGGCTTACAGGACAGTTTCAACCGTATGGAGATTGAGCTGACCGATAAGATGCGCCTGACCGAATAGAACCTTAAAAGGCTATCGGACGCCATTGCCTCTAGTCGAGAAGGATCCAGTAGCAACCAACCATGTCGGTCAGGCCCATTGCGACTGGTACGCGAAGAGGGAAGGTTGTTGTTCGTCTCCAGGCTAACCAAACTTGAGTTCCCTTCCTTCTCTAGCAGTGATCCTACCGAATGGCTTAACCGGGTAGGGAAGTTTTTTGACTTCCAAGCGACAGCTGAATAGCATCACGTCGCCCTCGCTTCCTTCCACCTCGAGGGTGAAGCCAACTGCTGGTGGCAGTGGCTGAGTAAAACATACAGAGAAGAGGGTTGGGTCATCAACTGGGCAACATTCGAAGAGGAGTTATGTTATGGGTCTGATTCCGCCCAACTGAGTTCGAAGACTATGACAAGTCCCTAATCCGCATAAGATAGAATGGGCTATTAAGGGAATACCAACAAGAATTTGAACGTTTGGGCAACCGGGTAAACTGGTTGACCCAGAAGGCCCTTATCGGTGCTTTCATTGGAGGGCTTAGGCCCGAACTCGCAGATGGGATATGCATGTTCCGGCCCAAAACTTTAAAGGATGCAATCGGCTTGGCCCGCATACATGAAGAATAGGTGGATCGCCAGAAAAGATTGAACCGACTGGAGTGAGTTATAGTCGGCCCGAGCGTGACGCCAGCCGCTTCCAACACACAAATCGTTCGAAGTCAGCAAACCCTAACCGGCCCAAACTCTATAAAACACATCTCCTAGGATGAGATGCAACGGTGGCATGCCCAAGGTCTTTGTTTCAACTGCGATGAGAGGTTCACCATAGGTCATCGATGTCGCAAACCGCAATTGCTAATACGCGAAGGCGAGAGCATCAAAGAGGAAGAAGCCGACGCTGATGATCCAGAGATTTCACTCATGCCCTCACTGGATGGCCTACGGCACGAATGATGAAGGTTTCTGCCTCGATACGAAGACAGAGGTTCACGACCTCATCGACAGTGGGTCTATCCACAATTTTCTTAGCGATCGAGTCACCGACCGTCTATAGCTTCCTGTGATTTTGACCCCTTTGTTTCTAGTGAAGATCGCGAACGAAGAACCCATGAGATGCTCTAATCGATTCAAGAATGTTCCAATGTCAATCCAAGGTATCCCTTTTACTCTTATGTTTTACTCATTACCACTGACTGGGCTTGATGTAGTGCTAGTGCGATTGGAAAAAGCTGACTATGGAGTTCTAGTGGATGAATAAGCCGCAAAAACAGCGTGAGTTAGGCGCGCCTCCCCTCCAGGCGGCATCTCTGAAGGAGATCAACTGAGCATGTCCAAGCCACTACTCCATATATGTGGTCTGCTTCATGGCCGAAGGCAAGAATCCCTCTTTGGCAGACCGACCAAACTTACAGAATCTGTTGAAGCAATTTTTTGAGCTGTTCAGTGAGCCTAATCAGCTACCACCGCAGAGAGACATCGAACACCAGATTCCTCTCAAGGATGGCACCGAATCCATCAACGTTTGACCATATCGATACGCCTACTTTTAGAAGTTAGAAATTGAGAGACAAGTTTCAGATATACTTAATTCCAGACTCATACGTCCAAGCACTAGTCCCTTCTCCTCTCCAGTTTTGTTAGCGAGAAAGAAGGATGTGACTTGGCAATTCTGTATTGATTACAGAGCCCTCAATGCAGTCACTATCAAAGATTGTTTTCCCTTTCTTACCGTGGAGGACATGTTAGATGAACTATATGGGGCGATTTATTTCACCAAATTGGACCTCGCTGCCGGGTACCATCAAGTGCGGGTCCACCCCTTCGACATCCAGAAAATCGCTTTCTGGACCCACAATGGACACTATGAATATCTGGTAATGCCTTTCAGTTTATGTAATGCCCCATCTATTTTTCAAGCTCTTATGAATTCTATCTTTTGACCATACCTGCAGAAATTTGTTTTGATTTTTGTTTTATGATATTCTAGTCTATAGCGCCGACTGGGACTCTCACATAGCCCATGTCAGAAAGGTTTTTGAGATTCTCAAGCAACACAACTTCTTTGTAAAGTTGAAAAAGTGCATCTTCAGTCATCAAGAATTAGAATATTTAGGTCATATCATCACACTAGGAGTTAAAGTAGACCAACAGAAAATTCAGGCCATGTTAGATTGACCAAAGCCAACAATTATCACAGAAATCCAGGGGTTTCTGGGTCTCACCGAGTATTAACGTAAGTTTGTGCAAAACTATGGAATGATGGCTAAATCTTTGACCAACTTGCTTAAAAAAGGGTCCTTTCAATGGAATGAAGATGCAGAATTAATTTTCACATAACTAAAGCACGGCATGATTTCCACATCCACATTGGCACTTCCCAACTTCGCCGAACCTTTTACTATTGAAGCAGATGCCTCAGGAGAAGGGATTGGGGCAGTACTCACCCAACATGGCAAACCAATTGCTTACATGAGTCGTGCTTTGGGAGTGTCCAAGCTATTCAGGTCCACATTTGCCAAAGAAATATTGGTAGTCGTAGTGGCCATCCAAACTTGGAGGATGTACCACCTGGGGTGTAAAATTTTCATTAAGATCGATCAGTACAGACTGAAATATTTGATGGATCAACAGATTACAACCTCAGACTGCAAAAATGGGCTTCCAAATTATTCAGCTATGATTATGAAATAATGTACAAACCGAGAACAGAAAGTCAAGCTACAGATGCCCTTTCCCGCTAACACAATAGACCCATACTACATGCTCTGTTCACCGCCAGCAAGCTACTCTAGGACAAGCTACAAGAAGAATCAAAGAAAGACCCTTATATCCAGAAAATAGATTAAGTTAGGGAGCACCATGTGGTCATTCCACCTAAATCTAGAATCATCTGTCAATTGCTACAAACATACCATAATTCACCAATGATAGGTCACCCAAGTATACCCGCACTTATAAAAGACTAGTACAACAATTCTATTGGCCTTCCATGAGAAAAATCACCAAGAATATGTGTTGGCATGTAAAATGTGCCAAAGAGCCAATTTAGAAACCCTATCCCCAGCTGGGCTATTACAACCTTTGTCGATTCCATGTCAAGTTTGGGATGACATCACCATGAATTTTATTGAAGGGCTACCTCATTCCCAAGGCAAGAGTGCTATTTTAGTAGTGGTGGACCGTCTTAGCAAGTCAGCACACTTCTTAACCTTGGCTCATCCTTACACTACCAAAAGGGTAGTAGAAAAATTTACAGAAGGAATTGGCAAGCTACATGGCATGTCGCATTCTATTGTAAGCGACTGAGATCCTATTTTTATTAGTCACTTTTGGAAGGAGTTCTTTAAACTTTCACGTACCGAATTGAAGATGAGCTCTGCCTACAATCCTTAAACCGACAGTTAGTCAGAAGTAGTCAATAGATGTGTCAAACAATACCTAAGATGCCTTGTTCATCAATGGCCCAACAAGTGGTACACCTTTCTTCTAAGGTCTGAATTCTAGTATAACACCACATACCACTCATCCCTTGGCATGACACCCTTTTAGGCTCTCTGTGGCCGGCCACCATCTACCATGCCACACTATGTGGAAGGCACGATAGTTGTAAATGAGGTCGATTAGCAACTAACCACAAGAGATGAGCTCCTCTATCAACTCAAAGTCAATTTACAAGCAGCAAACAAGCGCATGAAGCAAACAGCAAATAGCCGACGATACCATGTGGAAGTTTAAGTGAGCGATTGGGTTTTTCTTCGACTCCAGCCTTATTGCCAATAGACAGTTTTTAAGAGTGCCCTCCAAAAACTGGCTTGCAAATTCTTTGAGCCATATCATCGAGGAAAGAATTGGTCACGTGGCTTACAGACTCAAGTTACCCCTAGAGTCACGTATTCATAAAATATTTCATGTCTTCCTCCTCAAAAAATAAATTGGTGACACAACCCTCACCATTAAGGACCTGCCAACTACAAATAAAAAAGGTAAAATAATCCTTCAGCCCGAGGCAATATTGGATACACACTGGCTTAAAAAGGGAGCTCAAGTAGTTGAAGAGAATCTAGTAAAATGGAAACACCTCCCTACAGAGGATGCAACTTGGGAAACTTCAACAGAATTGCAAGATCATTTTATCAATTTGAACCTTGAGGATAAGGTTTATTTTTAGGGAGGGAGTGATGATAAGCCCCGAAATAGAAGATCCCAACGGGTGCGCCGCCAGAACCTGAAGTATCTGCAGTAAACAACCAAGAACCCAAAGTATCTGCAACCAACTACAGAGCAACCAATGGAGGAAAAGGGCAAGGATGAATCGCATGATCTGCTCTCCACAACGCCATTATCTATTTGATTTTATCTATTTGATTTTCTATAATTTTTGTAATTATCTAATTGTCGTAGTAGTAGGTATGTCAGTTATAAGCTTTCCTATTTAAAGACCCCCTGAACTCATCAATAAAAATTTAAGTAAATTTCATAAAACTCTTGGTTATTTCTCACCATAAGTAGAAAAGAATCCTTGGTTATTTTACAACTTTGATTGGCACCTAACAACTTATCTTCCCAATTGTGGCTAGGTTATTTTACAACTTTGATTGGCACCTAACAACTTATCTTCCCAATTGTGGCTAGAACTCAGCCACCTGGTGAGCTACTATGCTAGTCGGCCTAGTGTCAAGAGAAGTGGCCATCTTCCTCTATTGTGTAAGCCATTTAGCACATTAATCGTGGGGATGATGTGCATGTGTTTGGATAATTAATATGTTAAGTTGATTTAGATAAAAGGCTCCCCTTCTCTTCGAAATTTTGTTTTCCTTTATTCGAAAACCAAAACATCAACAAAAGAGTGTGAGGAGTGAAGTAGAAATCTAAACTGTAACAAGAAAAGTTGCAGCACATTAGAATAGAACGTGTGTTTTGTGTGCGTGTCCAAGGAGGAAATTTCTTCTTCTTAGTAAGGTAAGTTATTTCTTACTCTTTTAAATTATTTCTTTTAGTTCTTAGATGTCCTAAGATCACTCTTGCCTAGGAAATCCAGCTTCCAAATTGTTGTACCTAGCTTTAGAAACCAAATAAAAAATCACCACACCTGAGCAATGATTCTACTTGTGTAAGTTGTTAATCTTCATTTCGACTCCTTTCTGTTTCATTCTGTTGTTTCAAAATTGTAATCAAATGCTAACACATGTTAAAAAAGTTATGAATTACTTTCCAAACAGAAAATAAGTTACAATATCCAAAACTAACCTAAAAATGTCACTCAACTCTACATGTATAGCTATTGTGAGTTGCAGATAGGAATTTCTAAAATTTCCAACAATTCCTTCATACAAATTAGCTTCTATTTCGTGTATTTCTCAGGTAAAATAGACTAAAATCTTATTAATGCATGATATGCAATTTTTAGATTCTTTAAATAACATGTTTTGGTGAATTAATCCTGTTGCGTGCATGTGTGAAAGGAAAACATAGTGTGTGCCTGTGTGAGTGTTGTAATTTGGTTTTCATGAATTTAAAATAGTTTAACTTGAACATTGTTTGAAGTTATCAGTGTGGTAACCAGGAATAACATTTGGAAAGTAAAAGAATGAAGATCAATTTGAGGAAATGAGCCAAAAAGGCTTTGTTTATAGTAAGTAGCATCACCGTGTTGCTGTTGCTGAATGGAGGTAAAATTTTTGGGTTACAGCCGTGGAAAAGGGATGCTGCTGGGCACCCGCACCCAAATTTGTTTAGGGACATCCCTACACACGAGTTGACACAATAATGTTGTGCAATGCGGACATCGGACATTGTCAGGCAATGAGTGTGTTGAGAATGACGAAAGGGCATGTACATGGTGTTGCCATGCGTGTTGGTGTGTATATATGCACCGGCTCTGTATTAGAGATGCCTTTGCACTTTCGTATATATCCCATGGCATGCTACATTGAAGTGAGCTTGTGTGTTGTCTTGATTCAACCAGCATCTATGGATGCCGAGGGATCTTCATGGGTAGTGCTTCCTGTACCACAAGTACGGGTATGAGGGAAATTCTTCCTCGAGCACGTAACAAGTAAAAAGGAAGCAAGAAAGTGTGAAATTAAAATATGGAAATTTATGGCTTAATTTGAGTTGATAAAAAAATTAAATAACTAAATCACTAATTAATAAATTAATTAATAAAATTTAAATTAAGTCTAAAAGAATAAACAAAATAAAATTTTAGTTTCTAGAACTAATTTAAAATTTTAGACTACATAAATAAAATTAAAAGTTAAAAACTTGAACATAGAGTTTGGTTTAAATTTGATTCATTGTATTTTCTTCGAGGAGTATTTGCTTTGATTATTTTTTTTGGAGCCACTAAATTATGGGTGTTGGTCTTAGTTCCTTCATGGAACATGTAGTTTAGTTGTTCCAAGGGACTCTGGGTGATTTGATATTCATGTTCTGGAGCTCAAGGGCATGAATGATAGCGACATGAAGAGACCTAAGGGTATTTCATTTGTATTTTTTATCTGTGAATGTATGTTTATAAACATTTGCTCACTCATCCATGATTAGATTGTATCTCCTCTGCCCTCATTGAAAGTAGGTGTAGGTAGTTGCACCCGTAAGTTTATAATTAGTGAAACATTATTTAAGATAATTAATTTGTAATTAATATTGAGTCAGAAGATGAGTCTCGTCTTTTGTGCTTGAGTTGTGTAAATCTGTTGAATGTAGTATTGACCGCCTTTGTGATAATTTGAGTAAGATGAATATTCGATTTAGATGGAAATATTGACTATTTGACTAGGCAATGAAATTGAATCTAATATTGTTTTTAAATATTATTTTTCAATTATGCATTAATGAAGGTTTTTAAAGTTATCTGTGTTGTATTATTTCTATCTATCTTATTGAGTATTGAGACTCACACAAATCCAACCCTTCCCTAGATGCAAAGTTGGAAGAGAACACTGAAGAACCCTATTTAGATTCTTTTTTGTAGTTTGTTTTAACGTGAGGCTAATATTTTGCATTCTGTAATATAAATAGCCTATTTGGCTCAGGATGCAACCTTTTGTAAACCTTGTGATGTGATATTAGATAGTCCAACTTTGGTGTCAAGGATGCCAACCAACATCAAAGAGGAATCCAGTAGGTCCCGATGCAAATAGGAAAGAAAGTTCTAATTTCCTAAATGGGAACGCCCAAAATAGGAAAATAATTTCATTCCTGACTACTTTCCTAATTGGGACTATTGCAAGAGATTGACCAAGTTTCTTCAAGGTAAAAGACATAAAGCCCAAATAAGATTAATAGAATTGAAGAACCAAAAAGAAGTCCAAGCTTTGGGCCCAACTCGAGAGGTCTTCAAGGCCTTATGGTCAAGATGGGCCACAACCCAAGGATGCTGCACCCATGGGCAACCCACGCCCGAGGAAGATGGCCCACATGCATGCACTAAGTGCATATGTACTGCAAGACCTGCGTGCATGAAGGTTCAGGTTGGGTAGCAGCCTCGCTCGCATAGCCCATGAGATTCGCAGGCCCCACACGCAGAATTAGCCACGTGCACAGGAGGTCAAATGCACACCCCATGCGAACGAACCAGCGGACGACCCAACTAGCCCAAGCCCACTAGCCTTTGACTCCAGCTGGCCTTCTATCGTGCAACCTGCGTAGATCGGCTAGCCTGGCCCATCCCGGTAGCCCAAACCAGTGGACCCCTTTTTTACCCTTTTTAAATTATTTTTAATATTTATTTTATTATTTTGAGTCTTTTAAAAAGGCTTGAGTCTCATTTTTCAAAATACCCATTTGTTAAAACATGTGTTTTAAATGGATTTCACATAGGATAAATATGGATTTAAATTAATTATTATTTTAATTATAACTCTATCCCATAGGATTATTTAATTAATTTATTTGAGATAGAATAATTATTTTTTTATGTGATTATCCTAAATTAAGATAAAATTTTATTTAGGTTATTATTTTATTAATTATCTCAAAATTTTTATATTCATTTAGATTACCTGGGAAATGCTCTAAATAGACCTTTGCTCCTATGATGTGAAGTACAAATTTGAGAATAAATTTGAGAGAATTATTTAGAGATTTGACCTTTTTTTCTTTTAATATTTTTGCTAAAATTAGCTTGTTTAAGTTCTTCAGAAAGCAGGAGTTTTCAGAAGTCTTGTTGAACCAAGGAGCGAGGATCAATTTATCGGTAAGTCTGTGGCATTTGTTCTTTTCTTGTTTATATTTTCTAGTGTTTATTTTTACTTTCTTTTAGGATTGTAGACCCAATTAGAGAGATGAGTTTAATTTTAGGTGGTTATTATTTCGGTATTGCATACATTGAGTGGGTTTCAAGAGCAGATTTGATCTTTCCCATACCCTCCTTCGTCACCTTATATGTGATGTATAGTTCCCCTGCAATGTAAATATTTATTTTATGTCTGCTCTTTTGGACATTGGTGTCTTATTTGGCATTGGGATATCATACCCTAAGTTTATTAATTAACAACTGCTAACTTTTTATAACAATTATTAATTTGATTCAATTAAATCTATGATAATTCAATTTAGCAATGTTAATTCGACTATACTACTCTCTTTCAAGTCTTTATTAACACTTAATGGTAAATGTCTAATTGATGACATTTTATTCCTGTCACTCTAAAACTATCAATTACAAATAAAGGTATGAATTTGTCAATTCTCACAATCTAATTCAATTAAATACTGCTAAATTGCAACCAAAAAAAAGTTAAAAATTAAATTACAAATTTATCTTCGATTCAAACTATTTCAATTACTCTGGTGAAATAAATTTACCTTAACAAAAACAAGTTAATTAAAAATAAAATAAATAAGTTACTAGATAAATTTTCTCACAATCTCTCTCTCCACCATGTCTACTTCCTTTTGCCTCTGCTTGTGCTTGCTGCGTTTGAAGATTTGGTTACTGCTTTCTCTCTCTATAAGTTTTCTCTTTGTTTTCCTTCCCTTTTGTTGCTTCCTTTCTCTTCTTTTAATAGGCAGCTGTAAGAGAAGAGGTATTGTTTTTCCTTGCCCTATTTTTCTTATTAGCTACTTTCTATTTTCCTTTGTGGTTTCAAACTCTCAAAATGACGTAGTTTTGAGTGTTGGTGCTGGGCTTAGCTGCTACAGATATGGGCTTGAACTTGTATGGTCTGAGTATTTTTCTTCTTTTTTCATTCTTCTCTTATCAGCCTTGTTCTCTCTTTTTTTACCAATATAACATGCAATAAAATTTTATTGATTAATTGATTTTAACTCAAAATTTATTCAAATTTTTTTTCTAAATTTAAGTAAAAAGGGTATAAAATATAATAAAAATTTAACACATCAAATACCTCCAAACTTAAATTTTTGCTTGTCCTCAAGCAAAAGCTAAAAAGAAACACTTAAAAGAAAATTTGTCCACCATGATCATCTATTCAGCTTTATAGTATTGAAATTCTATTCCTTTCTTCTATTTGTTAATTAGTTGAAAATTCAAAAGAAATGTTGCAAATATAAGTAGGCTATTAACTCTTATATTATCCAATAAAATTTGCATTATTACAACATATAAGTTCCCTCTCTAAGTCTCTACTATTGATTCATAAATTATATTTTATTTAATCTTATCTTTTTGCTACTTCAACCAATATAGTGAGCTTAACAATATTTACTATATATATATTCACAATTTCTTTCATTGCGAGTACATTTTACGCTACATCTCACATTTTTACCTCAAAAATATTTTTACAGGTGAGGGTGTTTTATACTCCATCTCACTTTTCACTTAAAGTATTTATCTTTTTTTCTTGAATGAGTGTGTTTTACGCTGCATCTCATCCGTTATATGTTAGCTAATTTATCTTATTCACTAAAACCTTAGTTTATGACTAGCTAAAAGGCAAAAATCAAACTCATACTTTCTATGTCACAAGTAATGCCTTAGATTAGGTTCCTATGCATGTTCTTATAATGATTAAGTTGAGAAAAATAATTGCTAATTAATCTAATTATTTTTTACAAACATATTTTATTTTTTTTTTTCAAAATAACTATAACTTTTGTCAGGATAAAATTTCAATTCCACCATGCTTCACTGACTACTTATGGTGAAAAGTTTAGCCCTTTAATGTATAAAAAAAATAAGATAAAGTAAAAAAAATGACAAATTAAACTTTAAAAATCCAATACACCCAAACTTATTTCAAACAGTGTCCTCACTATTTATGAACAAATTATGCCCAAGAAAATAAAAATAAAATAGTGAAGAAACGAAATACTCCCCTTATGTGGTGGCCATGTAGCATGCTCCAAAAGTGATCACTAGAATTTTGCCATGAGAGTTGTTCTAATCCAAAGCAGATATCATCAACATAAAAAAGCATATTGGCTAGACCTCAATTAAGAATCCACAAGCATTAGTGAAACAATTATAAAACAGAAGGGAGGGCTGCAAAGGAAATAAATAAATAAAATAAAATAAAAATAAATGAATAACAAAAATCTAGGATTCTATCAAATGATAAAAAAATTAAAAAAAAAAATTATACTTATCTGTCTGATCTCATCTATATTGGGTTGCCTCCCAATCAATGCTTTGCTTATAGTCGTTAGCTCGACTTTGCAATAGATGACTCAAGCAAGGCTAGGGTGGATCTCTACATCTTAAAATCCCCTTCCAAATAGGCAAACCTTTTTTCAATTCTTCTTATCTTGCCTCGTCGTTTTCTTGATCATTCTCTTCATTTGATTTGGTTACTTCCTTAACATCGAGGTCTTTTTCTATTTTCGTGAGCTTTTTAGACACATACTCATTAATTATATCAATATTAAAGCATCCATCCGTGTTCAAAAGAAATTTTGAGGCACAAAAATTGTTAAAAGTTACCTATTTGTCCCTAACTTGCAATGTTAACTTAGCATCTTGCACGTTGATTAATGCTTTCCCTTTTACAAGAAGGGGTCTCCCAAGTATGAGTGGAACTTCTTTATCAACTTTCATTCTCAGGAATATGAAGTCAGCAGGGAATATGAAGTTCTCTACCTTTACCAGCACATCCTCTAATATTCCCAAGGGATATTTCACCGATCTATCCTCTAGTTGTAATGACATTGTTGTGGGCTTCACCTCGCAAATACGTAGCTTTTTAAACACAAAATAAGGTATTAAGTTAATATTAGAACCAAGATCATAAAGAGCATTTTTAAAATAAGAATTGCCAATATTGCATGGTATAGTAAAACTCCTTGAATTTTTTACTTTAAGTGGCAGTTTATTCTGAATGATGACACTACACTTTTCGATTAGCCAAATAGTCTTGTGATCTTCTAAACTCCTCTTTTTTTCTAGAATCTCCTTAAGACACTTTATATAATTTAGCATTTGAGTAAGAGCATCTACAAAAGGAATATCAATGTGAAGTTTCTTAAATATATCAATAAATTTAAGAAAATTCTTATCTTTATCATGTTTTTTGAGGCGTTGTGAAAATGGAACAGGTGGCACATAATGCTTGAGCATTACTTCCTTGTTCTCCTCTTCTTGCTCCACTTTTTCTTTTTTAACCATATTCTTTGTGGCTGCTTCATCCTTTCTTATATCTGCAAACTATTTCCCAATTTTCAAGGTGATTGCCATAACTAGTTCTTTTGGATTTATCTCTGTGTTACTTGACAGGGTACCTTGAACTCTTCTATTAATAATGCTTTCTAATTCACCCATCTGGATCTCCAAGTTCTTGATCGACACTTGTTGGTTTTGCAACATTATTTACTGATTCTGAATGGCTGCTTAAGTCTTTATTACAAAATCGGTTGTGTTCTTATGAATGATTACTATCATATCTTCAAGTGAAGGCTTCTTTTCTTGGGGCTGAAATCTTGGGGAAGCCTAGCCACATTTTACTGATTCTTCCATGAAAGATTTGGATGATTTCTCATCCAAGGATTATATGTATTGGAATATGGATTGTATGGTGGCCTGCCCTGGCCAACTACAAAACTTACTTGCTCCACCTCATGTCCTTGAAAATGACCTTCAAATAAACCCTGCACATGAAAATTATCAACATTAACACTCTTTTGACTAATTTTGTTAAATAAACAATCAATTTTTACATTAAGAGCAATTAAAGCATCTATAACACCTCGCTCATCATCGCACTAAATTTGTACTTGGAAACCCCTATTTATTCGGGTCTTAAGGCCACTTGAACACATTTAAATTTATCTCATAGTTTTATATTATATTTCGTGATATAAATTTGTTATTTATTCTAATTTTATTATTTTATTTATTTTTATTTTTATTTAATTTTATTTACTATTTTTATTTTTTATTTATTGAAAAATAATTTTCAGTAGAAAAATAAAAAGGGGCAAAATCTCGAGAAAAACACCCATGGGAAAGGCCTGCCCCCGGGATGTTGGTATGTGCACGGGTCCCATCACGCATAGACAGGCCAGTCCGCATACATCATATCGCGCACAGACAGGGCTGGGCACCGTGCGCCTTGTGCGCGCGCCATCCATGCAGTAGGCCCACGTGGATAGGCCTGCGTGCATGGGCTTGCACTCAGTAGGCATGCGCCTAGCACACTACATGTGGAAAGATAGGTCGGTGCTTGCAGGCTAGGATTGTAGCATGCGGCTAGCTTGGGGAGGCACACTGCCAACTCGGGCATTGTTTCGCTGCTGCTGGTTAGAGGCTTTTTCCTTTTTTTTTGTGCTGCCATCGCGTTGCGTCAAATTACTCATCTTTCACTCAACTTTCTCTCTCTTTATCAGATTTCACCACTTGGTACAAATCTAACAGTCCCTATTTTCTATAAATAAGGACCCTTTTATTTTATTTTCTTCATCACTTCCATTTCATTCTTCTATCTTCCAAGAGTTTAGAGAGAGAGGAAGTGATCTAGAGAGAGGAGAGGAGAAGAAAAAAAAAAGTGTAGGAAAACTTCAAAGTTTCATAAAGGAATTTAGTATTTTCTTAAACATCTTAAAAAGCATTTCTAGAAAATAAAAAATGGTGAAGTTTGTGTTTTATGTTTTGCATGATTTATGTTTAATAGTTCCAATAAAGTGATTTGTTCTTGATTTTTTGCATGCTATGTGATCTTATAGGTACTTGATGATATGCATGTAAATTAAATAACATGAATTTGATGATAATTGTCTGAAAAGTATATAAAAAAAAAAAGAAAAGAGAAAAGGGAATGAGCCTGAAATGGTCCGAAAAACAAATATATCTATATTGACATGCATAATGCATCAAGTGTCTCGTTAAATTTTTTATCCATGAGAAATTTCTATTTCTCCCTCCCCCATTTGGTTTGAAAAGATGTGAGAGAACCGCTCTCTGTGGATGACGGCGTACTCTCTAATGAGAGCAGTGACGCGAATATCTGTTAGGGGTCACTTTTGACTAAGTATTGTCGTGACTATAGAATATCTGATAGGACCACTATGGTTGGTACAACCGTGGTCATAGATCATACCATGGAGTGGCAAGCTAAAAATGTACTT